CTTCTTTGACTGAACAGGAAGACTGCTTTCCTAACTTTCACATTGAAACTGGATTCCTAAAGGTGGGTTTGCAAGTTCATTGTTGTTCCTGAACATCATGTCCATCCATATACAGACATGTTCAGCCATAATCTTGTGTTCAAGCTACTCTGCTTGCTGTATTGGATAACAAAAAGATGCAGGTATGGCAGAATGAAGACTATTCTGTAAGGAGGGTTTCAGATGTACATTTCATGCCATGGACAAGCAGAGACAAAGCTGTTACTCGCTAGATACATAAAGCATAATGGATTTTAAATTTAAATGCTAGCTTTGATCATTATCAATCATGTTGCAAGGATTCGTTCTTCTGACACAGGGATAAACCATAGCTACCAACTCTTCTATATTATAAGCCAGAAATTCATCTTGCAAGTTAGTAGCCTCAGTGAAGCACAGCAGGACAGCGAGTACTCTAAATTCGGAGAAAAAATGGTATCTTTTAAGCTGTGTGAACTTTACAGATGACAACAGAAATATGCCAGAAGCAGTTTGAAAAGTGAAAGAACACACCACAATAGTTAAAAATAAACAAACAAGATCAAAGAATATCATTAGCTTTCAGATGCACCTCATGTTTTCTGATACCTCACAGTAAACACAATGATGTCCTAAAAGACCTTGGAAATTACCTTCAGCTGATGGAATTGATCTGAGCGAAGAACCTGAAGATCTTTTCAGCTCGGATAGACTGTAAGAACTCTTCTTGGTCAGATCTGTTGGTGGAGAGGCATTCTCTGGTCCAGTGACAGAAGCTACACTTTGGCAGTCTGATTCCACATCTGTTTTTGTTGCATCCTCCTTTGATGAGGATTCTGGACTTGTAGTCCAGAGGCCTGAACTCTTCTGGCCATTAGAAGAAGGGGGAGAGGCAATCCATGGAATCCCTCCTGATTTCTCCCTGGGCTGTGGGGGTGCACATTTGGTGGTGCTGTTCTGCTCGGAGGAGTGAGAAGAGAGAGATTCAATGCTCCCCATGGGAGTGCTATCTGGGCTGCTGCTGTACGAGTCACCTAGGCAGGAGGGAGGGGAGAAGAAAGAGAAATAAAAAGATAATTACATTGTCTTACCATGTACATTTCTCTCATGCCACCTTTACCCCCTGTACATTATTTGTCATCAAATTCTGTGGTTCCATCGACAGTCATTCTCGAGACAAAATAGCAATTTAGTTGCTCTAAGTTTCACACGTTCCTATCTTTAACCTCAAAAGCTGCATTTTGTGGATATTTCTCTAGAGTGGATGAACATAATGATCTACTGGTGGTGCTATTTCACAAAAAAGTTTGCATTTTCAAAGAACTGCCCACAATATATCATAAGGAAATTAAACAGTTCCAGTGTCACAATATCTTTTAACAAGTATCTTACTTTGCTTAATAAAGCAAATGTGGTGTTTGTCACATTTATGTTCTGAAATGCGTAACTCTATTGCCAGCAAGTTAAATACTTAAGTTTTACTTTGTTTACCAAGTTGCTGAGGATCTTGGCAGTCTCTCTAAGACTATCTAAGACATAAGTCTATCCACAGATATTTTCTGAATCATCATACCTTTCATGAAATCCCTGTCCTGTAGAAGGAGAACTCATTCCATTATTTACAACTTTAACATTGAACATTTGATTAATTTATTTAATTAGACTGATATTAGAGAAGTTGACCTACTTACACAAAAATGTGCTGATCTAATTATTTTCAAAGATATTGTGCAACAAGAAGTGGAAACATCCTAAAGAAATTTGTTGATATGAGGCTAGGAACACGCATCAGAAATGAGGAAGCACTGGCCTACAGTATAGTGAGAGATGAGTTATCTTAAAGATTGGATTCATAAAAATGCAGTAATAGTCTAGTGACTCATATGCTAGTTTCTAATAAGATTTTTTCCCCACAGCTAGGAGATATAACTCACAAATTTCAGAAGAAGCAGGGAACGTACATTTTTCATCCACACAGTGTTGTTTATCCACATAGTATTTATAAGATAACGTGATACAGATGCTTTTGACTCCAAAAGTTTCAATGTCCTTGGCAACAGGTGACTAAAGCCACTTGCCAATACTCACAAACACCAGTGCCTTGCCTAGTAGGTGTGAAAACAGTAGTGCCACTGGAACAGTAATTTTAAATATTCTGTCTACTTCTGCTCAGAACACGGGTATTCCAGATGAGATTGTGCCCTAACTTACTCCTGACAGGCCATTAGTTTCTTGAAAATTGCAAGATAGGCTGGAGTGTAGATTTGTCAGATACATTTTCTATCATTCCCTACAGCTTGGCATTTATACTTCATGTTCTGCTGGCATATAAAATTCCTTAAATTCCTGAAATATAGTTAAATGTCCATCCTTCATTTAAATGATGACTTAAAACCATCTAGCACTTCAGAAATAGCTACTGCTGGAAGCCAGGGCTCTCTCTTATCTGTCTCTGGCACAGCTAGAGATACTCTGCAAGGAGAATACTTGTGCTGCTTCCTCACCCTTCCAGGCACAAATGAGATATCTTAACTGGAACTTGTGTAGCAAATACTGAACTTGAGCCAACAAGCAAAGCCTATGTTGAGAGTTCCTGGGTCAGGGCTAGTTCCAGTCCAGCCACCAGTAGAAGGTTTGAGTCTGAATAAAGAAGATTGTGCTTGCATATGCCCTGCAAAATACTTGCACAGAATTGCCCCACAATAATGCAAAAAAGTTACACAGTGAAAGAAAGTTGAAACTTGCTAAATTTCTCTTCTGGTGTGTAGTTATAAGCGACAGCTCCTCCGTAAATTCTTACTCTAAGGATCCCATGTCATTCAAATAGGGAATTGATGTGTAGACAGCAATTGTGTAGACAGCAATTGTTCTAATTCAACATTTAAATTCTCATCATCAGGAAGTATGTAACATATATGTACATATAGAAAATGCAGCATCCATGCAAGAGCATAGCATGGATATATTTCCCAACATTACAGACTTGAGAGTTAATACAGAACCTACAGAACAGATAACCTTAACTGTGGATTCATTTACTGTACTAGTTTAACGTAAATCTCCTTGAGGAAATAGGGGAGACAAAAGTTCTTTTGGAAATCTCTTGCAGTAGCTGGCAAGCTATTCTTTGGTACAGTTTCAAATGGTTTCAACCTCTTAACGGTAAGGCAGGTAAGTAATAAGTGACGGTCCACTGGATGAAAAAGAAAGTGCAACTTTTTAAGTAGTCACTTCTACATGAAAATTAATACGCATTTGCAGCTGTTAACTGCAAACATAGCTCCCTGCTGTTAAACACTGTCATATGATGAGTATGCTGTTTCTCACAAAAATGTGAGCGCTTGTTTCTATTCCAGTAAAACTAACAAAGTTTCAGTGGTTTTGGCAACCTAGGCAGTGGTTTACTTTGAACCAGTGACCACAGTTTCACGTGAAAAAAGCCAAGTAATGGCTTTGATCTCCGACCTTGACCAAATTGCATTTATTAAAGCTTCCAAACCTTAACAATCAACTTACAAGCAAATGAGGTGAATGTCATACAGTGAACTTTGTGGAGTTTCAAAGCAGGCTACACTTAGATTAGACTATAAAGTCTACTATAAAATATTTTTGAATACTGTATGCAATACAAGAATTGACTAAAAACAAATATTCTTTCTCCTCTGAGAGAAGTAAGGAATGCAGTCATTTAGCAGTGTGGCTGTGACTCACAGAGGTTAAAAAGCTGATGAAAACCCATCTGTGATGCTTATATTATTGGAATACAATATTTACTGGATATTCAGGATAACTAAAAGGCAAGACATAAAAAGGAAGATAACAAGTCAACATGCACTAACTTACTGTCAGGATCTGCTAGACATGGTGTGTACCTTCCTTTGGGTTTACGTGGACCTGTGGAGAGACAAATTGCTCTTGTCCTTCTTGAGCTTGAACGGGACTGAGGTTGGGGAAGAGGAATATTGGGGTCTGGTGCAGTGTGAAATATCTGTATGATTAAAAAAAAAAAAAAAAAAGGAAGAAAAGACAAACAATAGAGGTACTCTTAGACTTCCATTAATAATCCACTTCTTTTCTTAATTGCTGTTCTTGAAATGAATGCTGTAATAGTCTCACATTGTAGAAGTGTAAATTAAGAGAATATACGCTTTATCCTGATCTGATTTTACAATCCAGGAAGAACAGTAATGGATTAGTGAAAAACAAGCTGTACATAAACTTATACTAATTATATAAAAATATTTGTTTAAATGTTTTTTTTCTAGTCCCAGTTATGAAGTGCTTAACAATCTAAATCGTGAAACTACAATAAGCACTTACTACTAACTCCTGCCTAAGAAGTATATTTGTTAAATAAAAATTATGAAAGATTGAATTTTGTTCTCTATGTTCATATGAGAGCTTTTGTACGTCACAGAAAAGAGTCATGATTGTAACTTATTTCAAACCCATTTGGATTTCAGAAAACTACTTTATTTTGTCAAAGAAGTTTCATGAGGATCGCCCTTTAGGTTTGGAGCATCTCTTGATTTTTACCTTTCCTGTACCCCTGCTATCACTGGTCAATTTTGTACTTCATTGCTATAGAAAACACCAATTTTTTTCAGGATCTGACACAAGTATACATAAAGTTTTAACAACTCTTTGCTGATGAGAACAGCAAGCCTGCCAACAAGAATAATGCCAGGCAACTTTAATTTAGGTGACTTTCATTTGTATCACCTGTTCTGCAATATTCACCACACCTGCAGTACAGGTGTTGAAAGACCCTAAAAATCATCTGGTATACTTCTAGTAAAAATGGCAACTGGCTAGGAGGAAGATTGAAAAGGAAAATATAACCAAAAGATTTCTTTTTCTTTCAGATCTTCTTCCTCACTTATTCCTCCTAATGTAGACTGTGTTTGTAAACTCTATCAAGTATCTCTTACAGAATTCTGTGGAAGGAATTGTGATTAGTTCTGTGGGATGGAGAAGAGAAAGATTGCCTGTTCTGTTAAGCTACTGAAGGAATCAGAAGTGTTCAGTCTCCGTAGTGTAAGGAGCAAGGGCCAAGCATTGCAGGTTAAATACCAAGCAAAATGGGTCTCTGCAAGGACTTCTGGATTCCCTATCAATAGGGCACTCTTAGAACAGGATGAAGGGAACAATGAGAAGACACCTTTGTGCCACTCAAAAAGTGGATGAAAGCAAATATACTTTGATAGTAGAAAATACTTTAACAGAGGATTTGAGATGCTCTTGAAGTATATTAAAAACATAGTAGTAATTGGTAAGTATCATGTCAGTGAAAAAACATGTCTTGATGCAGAGAAATAGAGCAAGGGTGTGATTTTGGTTGTGCAATCATGGTCTTTGTGTTGAATTTGCTGATGATTTTCTGGAGAGGAAATTCAGTGTTGGAAATGTAACAGGTCACAGGTTACCTTTCTTCAGATGAAAAGAAGTACCTAGAGACATCTGTATGTTCAAATCACAAAGATTTGATAGGTTAAAAATCTGTAACTAGGGATAAAAGGTCACCTAAGAAACTTTTTTTTTTTCTTTTTACAAGTTTGATCTAGTATCTACACACTTGAAAAGTGACAGAGCATGTAGAATTGGGGATTCTGCTGGGAATCCCCACTGATGCTGCTTTTGGAAAGAGGAACTGAAGGATAGCTGGGGTTTCATGGTGGGACTTAACCTCCACTGTGAAGATAGCATATCCCCAAAAGACAGTAATAGTCAGAAAGACTCTGTGCTGATGCACAAAGTGTACACACAGGAGAATCCATGATTTCACTTAGAATGAACCTCAATATACTGCTAGCGTGAGAGATAGAAGAACAAAGGAGCAAAGTATGCTCTTCTCGTTCTGTTTCTAGATATGAGAAGGACACAGCAATCTTCAGAAAGCTAATGAAGATTCAGAACTATGCCCTCAAAGCACAGGAGATTATCCCTTGTATTTATACCTTTCATAGCCAAAAAATCTTGCTACGAATACCGATCCATAGCAAGGGCAAGGAAAAAGGTACTCTTTCTATCAATAACCTTCTACAAATGCTGAATTCAGACAATCCTGAAGAATTTTTGGATGGCAATGAAAATGAGATCTCAGTTTCATTTTATCACAAAACATTCAGATAATCTCCTACTACCTTTTCGTAATGCTCTATCAGAATTTCAACGACGATATTCTGAAACTTAATGTTCATCATAGCAGCCACGGTTTCTTCTTGGGCTCTCATCAGAGTTGGTCCAAAGATAACACCAAGGTTGGATACTGTCATAAGATTTTGCTGACTGTGTAATGATACCCTTTAAATGAACAGAAATGATATGCAGTTAAATAATTGTGCTAAACTACAATTCCAACAGGCAAAATCTCACATTCATGCTTCCCCTTTAAAAATACTTTAACATTTTACAATTTACTAGAGTTAAAAGCTAGTGCAGTACTGTATTTCCATTAAGGCTCCAATCTTACAATAATTTAATGGCTAAGAAGCAAGTCTTCGTAGAGTAAGTATCTAAGTTCCATACATAACTGATAGGGAAAAGGAAACATCTCTGAATGAGATGTTTCCACAGAGAGATCCAGTCCATTTAAAGATTAGGAGCCATAGATACCTCTCTATCTCCAGTTGTTATACAGAAAATTAATTATTCAAATGACTGAAAATATTGGGTGAAAACAGAGGTTAACTGTATACCTTAGCTTTCATGCAAATGAAAGAAACTTAGTTACTGAAAACACTTAAACTGCAATTGGATCTTTATGTCTAAAAGGTAGGAGCAGTGGGGTCAGTGTCACTGTTTTTGTGGTATAGATAAAACACAAAAAGATCATCTTCTGCCTTTAAAATACACTAGCCTTGTAAAAGCCATGAAAAAAAGCCATGAAAGCCATCTATCAGTAATCCACAAAATACTTTTCTCTCCTTACAAATAAGATTTACTGAATAAAATCTGTATCATCATAAATTCTTCAAAATAAGTGGCAGTGACTCCCCAGTCACAGCTGCCCCATTGCCTTACATGTCTGAGAAATACCTTGACAAGTGAATTTTTCATAACTGCCTTAATGCTTAGTCTTACTGAATCTGCTACCAAATAGAGGCACACATTCACATTTTCCTCTTCCTTCTCACTGCTCTATCTATTACTGTTGTCAAACTGATAAACACCATTTTACCCACTTCTTAAATAAGTAAAATAACCCTTGTACCTTTTAAAATTAAGAAACAGTGAAATCTATAAAACAGTGGAAGGAGCAGGTAGGAGCAAACCATATCTTCTGTTTTTCTCTGACAGCCTTCATTAATCAAAGTTATGGAGACATCTGCCATGCTTTTCTTCCAATAAAACTCTCAGGTATCTTGATTTGTTCTTAATGTTATACAAACTCTAGCAAAATGATCTGTCTGATGTTAAAGTTCGGTAGCAAATTACACAAATATTATCCCTTTACAGATTAGAAAGCCAGTGACAAAAAGACTGTGAGATTTTCCCATAGCTGCTGGGAAGTTTTGTAAGGATCAGGATCAAACCCATATCTGGACTCACAGACTACCCTCTCTCGGTCTCACAGTGGAGTAGGCACTAGTGGTACACTGAATGAGGGAATGAACAATAGAGTTATCTGGGTAGAGAGGTGAACTAGACTAGAATTACTTCTATAATGAAGTAAATACTGCCTTCGTAATTAGAACAGGAACGCTTTGGCACCTTATTTACTCTGAGAATCAGGAGAAAGATGGGAAAGAGGTTTGTACAGGAGATAATGTGATATGAACTGCAGAAAAATAAATACCTGTCTTCTTACATTTCCTATTTTGTTTCATTAAGTTAGGCCTAAAAGCATCCCAAAATTTTACTTAGACACAGTGGCAGAGATTGTTTTTTGGAAGCCTAATCATGGAAATTTTTACCTTGTTAAAGCATATTTTTAGCCAATTATTTCCATGTAAGTTTCTCTGTAATAGATTCTCTGTTTGGCTGAGGGGTGTTTGGGAAGTCCACTAGTGTCTTAATGAAATGTAATTTTGAATAACTAAGCTCTAAGTCTGTTAGAAAACCTAAAAAAAAAAATAACTCTATGCAATGTTAGTCTGCTTTGTGCTGCACAACAATTGTTAAGGTCTCTTACACAAACATAGTCTTACAGCATAGGACAGAAAATAGTGTTTGTACTGTGTTTGCGTTTCCTCGGTGACAAATTTGGTAGCTTGGCTAATAAAAGGAAGGGTGAATTTAATAACATTGTAACCAGAAAGGACTTTCTGCAAAGCATCTCAAAGGCTCAATTTCTAGCAAAAAATGAAAAAAAAAAAAAAAACAGGCCTGTAAATGGATCATTTTGATAACCACTTTCCCACTTTCCTCTGACCTAGTCCTACTGTTGCTGGGCTACTGAATAGGTAGAGGCCAAAGCAATCATGCGTTTTGGGTAGCCATAAGACATTCATTAATGTGCAATTGCTTTCTCCTCAAAATCTCTTTCTTTGATGTATCCCCAGTAAATCTGATACTACCAGACTGCAGGCTATCTACTATAGAAGGGTATGGTGCTACTAAATTATACCAAAGAATGATCCCTTCTTCAAAGGAGACAAGCAGATAATTTAATTAGGAAGGTTTAAAAACAACAACAAAAAAATGAGTTTCCTATCTTAAAATAACACCAAACCTCCAGTTCTTGCCTAGCTGCTGACTGAGTGTATAATCATGCAGCATGACCTCTCTTCAGAGTGCTTTTCAGGATTTGCTGGTTTTGATTGTTTTTAGTATGAGCTCCATCCTACAACATCTAGATCCTATTTAACTGTGCACAGTGACACCGAAGTCAAGGTAGGCAGAAACCTAAGGGCCTTAAGACCTAAACCAAGGGAGAAAACTAATATCCTCTTCCTATAAGGCACCGTTAAATGCATAGTATTTTTATGTAGACATAAGAGCATATGCAAAGGAACTGAACAGAAAAAAATAAATGCTGTAAAAGGACATACATTTTGAAATAGGATTTTAAACAAAAGAATGAAAAAACATGATTTTTTCATATTTATCCATTTACATAAAGTTATGCACTCTATTTTGTTCCTTGAAAAATTTCCACATGGATAGGAAAGAGAAGGAAGAAAAACAACCAATACATTCAAAAGACTAATTTTGAATTCGGGATCATTAGAATTGCTAGCATAAACAACAGCTGGCAAATTATGAGAAATTAGAAGGGATGAATTGAATATTGGAAAGAGACAAACTGAAAGTTTTCAGAATAAATCACAAAGATTTAAATTTATCAGAAATGAGAAGCACATCAAAGTTAAGACAGGCAAGAGCTAAAGAGAACAATTAAAGAAGGGGCTCCACAGTCGAAGCCATCAGCCTGTGCAAGCCCCAGTGAGCACAGCCCTGCCGTGATGGTGGAGAGCCAGGGACGTGCCCGACATGCCTGCAGTGTCTCTGATGAAGAGCTGGATGAAAGAGTTGACATCATCGTCGCTGCAGTCCTACTCCACTCTGTAGCCATCATCCAGGTAGCCCTAAGCAAGGCAGCAAGTGCTCCCTGGGTCACAGTGCCCACGGTGCCTCCTCCCACACCAGAGCCTGCAGAATGTACGTCCTCGGCCTCTGCCTTGGCCAGAGGCCCTGTGGGGGAGGCCAATGAAGCCCCTCTCGCTGCAGCAGCAGCGCCACAAGAAGAAGGTGGAGAAGGGGCTTCTCCTTTGGCTGCAGAGCCTCTCCAGGAGCCCAGCACAGATGTCCGCCCAGCAGCAGCTGACAAAGCAGGAGCAGCAGCCACTCCCTTGGTTCCTGGGCACCAGGTAAGCACAGCACGCGCCGTGGGCACCAGGCATCCAGGGCAGCCCCAGGCAGAAGCAGTGCATTGGGTGTGCATGCCGGGAGCTGCCTGCTGCTCTGCATTTCCACATGGCCCAGGCACAAGGGCTGACATCCCTTTCCTCAGCTGCCCGTGCTGTTCCTCTCCCATGCAGGTGGCCATCGAGCAGGGAGGCCAAGCGCAGTCCTCCTCCTGCACCAAAGATATGCCAGCGGATGAGCCAGCAACATCCCAGACACAAGCACCGTCCCAGGATCTGTTGGCCGGGCCTGTTCAGCGCAGCGAGCAGCACCAAGCACAAGGTTGGCAGCACCACGCGCAGGGGGGCTGGCTGGTCCTGTGCCACCCCTTCCCGGGGAAAGGCCTTGGAGGGGGGGGTCAGGCACGCCCAGCACCCGCTCAGGCCCTAACCTACACCTCTGTGTCCCCCACAGGAACCCTTGACCTCGCACAAGCCTCGGCGCGCCAGCCACGGCCCTCCCGCATCAGGAGGGCACTTCGCGCGCTGCGCAGGGCTTTCTGCTGCAGCTGCATCGCAGGAAAGCGAGAGTAGCCGCGCCCGGCTGTGCCAGTCCTAGCAGGATGCTCGGAGCTGGCAGCTGGCCCTCAGGAAGCTTTGCAGTGCCCACGGAAGCATCACTGCGAGGCACAGGACAGCGCCCCAGGAATTCAGATGCCCCACCACATCCTGCCCCCAGCCTCAGCTCAGCTGTGGATGCTTTCTGCTCAGAATAAAAGCTCAGGCAGACTTTTGCCCCCAGTGCTCCTCTCTGTGCCGTTGATCTCAGGAGAAAGAGTGGTGCAGGCCATGCCAACCCGGGACCTCTCACAGTAAGAGAAGTACAGAATCATAGAATCTACCACTGAACCGTGTCCCTCGGCACCAGATCTACACGGCTTTCGAATGCCTCCAGGGATGGTGACTCAACTACTTCCCTGGGCAGCCTGTTCCAATGCTTCACAACCCTTTCGTTGAAGACTTTTTGCCTAAACCTAAACCTAAATCCACCTAAACCTCCCGCGGCCCCACTTTTTCCTCTTCTCCTACCGCCTGTGGATTGGGAGATGGGACTGACCCCCATCGCACTACAACCTTCTCTGAGGTCCTTGTACACAGTGATAAGGTCTCCCCCAAGCCTCCTTTCCTCTAGGCTACATAACCCCAGCTCCCTCAGCACTCCTCACACGACTTGCTCCCTGGGCCCTTCGGCTGCTCCTTTCCCCTTCCTTGGACATGCTCCAGGACCTCCACGTCCTTCCTGCAGTGAGGGCCCCAAAACTGAACAGGGTATTCATGGCGCGACCTCACCAGAGCTGAGTGCAGGGGGAGAATCAGGTTCACAAACCACGCGATGCTTACTACTATACCATATATGTACAATTTTATTTGACCAACCTTTATTTTCCCCTTTTCCTTTTTTTTTAATTATTTTTTTCTTCATCTCTCGTGACTAGAAGGCCCGTGATTTATTTATTTATTTATTTGTTTGTTACTGATTTTTGCCCTGTTTCTCCTGCTTTTCTTAGCTATCCTCCTCATTTTGCGACTGTGGGACGTTCCCCTTATCTGCTTAAAATACTTCACCTGGTATGCTACTGCCATGCCCGCACAATCCCTTTTGAAAATGCAAGGTTAGTGGAATTTTGCACTGCAAGAACCTGACGTGCTGTCAGCAGCCTGCAAGCTCTCCTGACGTGCTGTCAGCAGCCTGCAAGCACACAAGGGGAGGAAGTGCTGCAACAGCCGTTGCTCACCAAGCAGCTGCCCGGCAAGGAAAAGACAGTCAGTAGGACATGTGTCAGGACACTTTTCCTGCCAATGCGGCCAAATTCACCTGAGAAAGAAACAGGAAAAGTCTCTTTCTTTCTTATGTGGGACTCCAGGAAGACAGGCAAAGTTCTCCGAGAGCTGAAAAGTGGGCTTCTTTACCTGGAGGAGCTCAAAGCAAAAAACAAGAGCAGCCCCACTTTAATAAGGAAGGAGGCACCCAGCCCAGGTACTAAGACATGCTGAAAAGCAAGAAAGGAGGAGCAGTATTTAAGCATTTCTGGCACTGGAAATGCAGCGTGGGGCTTCCCCAACAAAGAAGATGGGCCCTTGTGCTTTGGCCACTGCTCATGGGAAGGTGCCAGATGGCGTCACTGCGGAGAGCCCTGGAGATGGCCTCAGTGTCTGGGAGCTTCCCAGCTCCCTCCTTTTTGCCCCCTGCAGAAGAGCTGGGCTAGGAAGAGCACAGCCAACACCCTCAGCTCAGGAAAAACCCTCCACGGGGTTCCCAACTAATAGGGAAAGCCTTGAGAACCGGCTCCGGCTACATGCTGGCTTGCCCACTCGGGCCACAGGCAACGCACAAGCGCCAGGCAGTACGCATCCCGTCCTTCTGCTGGAGCTGGGCTCTTCTGTTGTGCATATTGCCAGAGCAGCAAGGGGCCCCTGGCACAGCTGCACTTTGCAGGCTACCGCTGGGGCGTTTCTTCTGCTTGAGGAGGCGGGCTGTGGGGTGGCAGCTGCAGGAAGGAGCAGGCTACGAGGGCAGGACGAGGCTGCAAAGCCCACCTTGTTCAGTGCGAACTGCCTGTGCACGTGGTGGGGTATTGCATCCCCAACGTGCCCAGCCCCTGGAAAGCAAATGCCCCAAATCCCCTTTCAGCCGTGCCCTGGGGACGGCAACAAGGCCGCCAATGCCATGCTGCAGGCTGGCACGGCCTGCAGATGCCAGGCTGCCAAGCCCAACGTGCGGCCGCCACGCAGGCGCCAGCTGCCAGAGGCTGCAGGAAGGTTCCAGAAGCAGCGGCAGCAGCCCGCGCAGGGGCAGCCGCGAGTGCAGGAGCCGCTCCTGGGCTCTGGGCTCAGCGGCAGACGCCTGCCCCTGCAGGGAACAAGGCCCACCCAGAGCCTGCCCAGCGGCATGGGCCTGCCCAGACATCCTGGGGGGAAGCCCTGGCCGCAACAAGTGAGCGGGGGGCATGCAGAAGCCCCTCACATATGCTGACGAAAAACAGGGCCCACAAAGTGAGAGGCATCCCTGCAAGACTTGGAGCAAAGAGGCGCTGTCTCTCCAGAGAGCACGTTTCCTTCAGCACAAAGAAAAGGAAAGGCCTCTTGGCTCTAGATACCGCCCACCATCGCTGGCAGCCGTGCTGCGGACAGGCCAAGGCCTCAGCCATCTTGTGGCGCGGGGGGCAGGCAGAACTGCCAAATGGCCGCCAGGGCTGTCAGAGGGTGGGGCTGGAGCCTCCCTGTCAAGGAGCAGCTTTTCTCTCTCTCTCCCTGCACTCAGGGAGTTTCCTTCCTGTAGGGCCACAACTGAGCTGAGCAACCCAGGACTGAGAATAAAATTCTCTCGTTTCTGTCCCGTACAAGCCTCGAGTACATCCCACAAAGTGTGTGCGGTGACCCATTTGGGTGTGGGAAGAAAATTCTAGAATTGCCATTTATTTCTTTCTTAAACCATGAAAAGAAATAAGAAAGAAGCAATGTACAGTCTACAGAAGAGCCTGCAGACTGTACATCCTCAGCCTCTGCCTTGGCTGGAGGCCCTGTGGGGGAGGCCAATGAAGCCCCTCTCGCTGCAGCAGCAACGCCACAAGAAGAAGGTGGAGAAGTGAGAAGCAGAGCATCTCAGGGAGGCCAGCTCAGATCTCCTCCCAGGAGCAGCTGACGAAGCAGGAACAGCAGCCACTCCCTTGGTTCCTGGTGTGACCTGTTCCAGCAAAGACACCGTTGTGTTACCAACACTGTCTCAGCCACAACTCTGAAGCATAGGACCTGCTTCAGCAGCCAGAGAAGCTGCAGGCTAAACAGCAGCGTGGCACAGCTGTGGCTCTGCCGCTGAAAGCTTCTCCACAGCATGCTCTTAAAGCAAGGAGCAGGGAATCTTCCTGCCACACAGAGTCGGGAGCCCCAGGAGGGTTCGGTCGAACATCGTTGGCAGCCCTGGCAGCCTGCGACAAGCAGGCAGCACTTGCAGGAGGAGACAGGCAGGGCATTACCCTGGCAGGCTGAGCCCCGCTCTGCGTGGGCAGCTGCCAGGGCATGCCGGGGGCCGCAGCAGGGCAGCTCACAGCAGCACTTCTAGGGGGTACACTGAGCGGAATGGCAGAAATGGCCCAAGTAACTTGGCCTTTTTTCTTGCCTTCTCTTGCAGATGGAGAAGAAGCCGCAAGACATCAAGACACTGCCTCACCGTGGGGTGAGGCAGGCCGAGAGAATCCAGCTGCCAGCCCTGCCGCCTTTGCCAAGGCAGGCAGCGACTCAGGCAGCAGCACCCAAGCAAGTGCCTGCGGCACAGGCATCATCGCCTGAAAGGGCCACTTGCAAGCTGCCCCCTCTGCAAGCAGCAGCCTCTGCTTCTTCAGGGGGAGGAAGGGCAAAGTCATTGGGAACAGAGGCCCGCAGCCAGCAAGAGCTTTTGCCACCTCTTCCCTGCATCTCTGGCAACAGGGACAGGGCAGTGAGGGCAGAGAGGCGGGAACGTGGCCCACACAGCCCTGTGGCCCCTGACGAGGACGTGGGCAATGCAATACAGTCCTTCGTGTCCACTGTCATAGCAAAAGCTCTAGCCTGCAACGAGGGAGCCAGCAGCAAGGCAAGGCTTTCTCCCTCAGGCAGAGGTCCCGGGACCAAAGGCCCCAGAACACCACCTCTCGCCACAGCAGCGGCCCAAAACTGGAAGAGTCGGCACTCGTCCAAAAGCAGCCTTGCATCCCCTGCTGAAGAAATGGAAGACCCAGTAAAGGCCTTTGTCTCCACTGCAATAAGAAATGCCCTTGCCTGGAACCAGGGAGCCATGAGGGAGGCAAGGCTTCCTCCCGTGGGCAAACCTCCCACGAGCAAAGGACACAGAACACCACCTCAGCCCGCAACTGGGCCCCAGAATTTAAAGAAGAGCTGGCACCCGGCCCCACACAGCCCTGCAGACCCTTGCATGGCACTGCGGGACACAGCACACTCCCGCGTGTCTGAAGTGCTGCAGAAGACGCAAAAAAGCTGGGAACACGGCCAACGATCAGCAGCACGTGGGGACCTGGCACAAACGGGGTGCAAATTGAGAGCAACAAGTTCAGCCGGGGTCCAGACAGACATGGAGAGGACGTGGACGACTTCTCTGCCAGGGCCTGATTCCCGGGTATGTGCAGGAGCAAGGGCTTCCAGCAGAGACCCTGCAGCAGCTAGCCCAGGCCAGGGTAAGAAGCAAAAACACATCAAACCCAGGCAGGGGACAGGGCAGGGGACACGTCAAACCCAGGCAGGGGACAGGCAACGAGGGGACAAGCCAAGGCCGGGGCAGGAAAGAGAGCAGTCCTGGGGGATGCGATGAAGAGGAGGGGATCGTCATCCTCAACTCCTGGATTAACCCCAGGTTCGCCAGCCTCTTCACAGACGCACAGGACGTTCCCCAGGAAGAGGGCAGCGCAGCCAGCAGTGTGGACAGGGAGGCAGCACAAGAAGCAAAACACGCAGCAAGCGCCTCTCCTGGCTCGCTGCAAACAACGGACACTGCCCCATCAGCTGCTCCCCAGGAAGAAATTCCTGGGGAAGAGAGGCACAGCACGCCTCTCACCACAACAACACCGGCACAGAGCAGGCCAGCAAGTCCTCCAGCAGCCCCTGCTCTGGAAGATGGGGGACACAGAGCGCCTCCCCTGACACGTGGGGCTCAACAGTCAAAGCCATCAGCCTGTGCAAGCCCCAGTGAGCACAGCGCTGCCGTGATGGTGGAGAGCCAGGGACGTGCCCGACATGCCTGCAGTGTCTCTGATGAAGAGCTGGATGAAAGAGTTGACACCATCGTGGCTGCAGTCCTACTCCACTCTGTAGCCATCATCCAGGTAGCCCTAAGCAAGGCAGCAAGTGCTCCCTGGGTCACAGTGCCCACGGTGCCTCCTCCCACACCAGAGCCTGCAGAATGTACGTCCTCGGCCTCTGCCTTGGCCGGAGGCCCTGTGGGGGAGGCCAATGAAGCCCCTCTCGCTGCAGCAGCAGCGCCACAAGAAGAAGGTGGAGAAGGGGCTTCTCCTTTGGCTGCAGAGCCTCTCCAGGAGCCCAGCACAGATCTCCGCCCAGCAGCAGCTGACAAAGCAGGAGCAGCAGCCACTCCCTTGGTTCCTGGGCACCAGGTAAGCACAGCACGCGCCGTGGGCACCAGGCATCCAGGGCAGCCCCAGGCAGAAGCAGTGCTTTGGGTGTGCATGCTGGGAGCTGCCTGCTGCTCTGCATTTCCACATGGCCCAGGCACAAGGGCTGACATCCCTTTCCTCAGCTGCCCGTGCTGTTCCTCTCCCCATGCAGGTGGCCATCGAGCAGGGAGGCCAAACGCAGTCCTCCTCCTGCACCAAAGATACGCCAGCGGATGAGCCAGCAACATCCCAGACACAAGCACCGTCCCAGGATCTGTTGGCCGGGCCTGTTTAGCGCAGTGAGCAGCACCAAGCACCACGCGCAGCGGGGCTGGCTGGTCCTGTGCCACCCCTTCCCGGGGAAAGGCCTTGGAGGGGGGACAGGCTCGCCCAGCACCCGCTCAGGCCCTAACCTACACCTCTGTGTCCCCCCCACAGGCACCCTTGACCTCGCACAAGCCCCGGCGCGCCAGCCACAGCCCTCCCGCATCAGGAGGGCACTTCGCGCGCTGCGCAGGGCTTTCTGCTGCAGCTGCATCGCAGGAAAGCGAGAATAGCCGCGCCCGGCTGTGCCAGTACCACGAGGGCGCTCAGTGCTGGACGCTGGCATCACTGGTAGGAACAGGACAGTGCCCCAGGAATTCAGATGCCCCACCACATCCTGCCCCCAGCCTCAGCTCAGCTGCGGCTGCTTTCTGCTCAGAATAAAAGCTCAGGCAGACTTTTGTTACTTTGCAGTAACTTAGCCTTTCTTCTCGCTTCTCTTGCAGATGGAGAAGAAGCCGCAAGACATCAAGACACTGCCTCACCGTGGGCAGTGTATTGATGTCTGTCACCGTGGGGTGAGGCAGGCCGAGAGAATCCAGCTGCCAGCCCTGCCGCCTTTGCCAAGGCAGGCAGCGACTCAGGCAGCAGCACCCAAGCAAGTGCCTGCGGCACAGGCATCATCGCCTGAAAGGGCCACTTGCAAGCTGCCCCCTCTGCAAGCAGCAGCCTCTGCTTCTTCAGGGGGAGGAAGGGCAAAGTCATTGGGAACAGAGGCCCGCAGCCAGCAAGAGCTTTTGCCACCTCTTCCCTGCATCTCTGGCAACAGGGACAGGGCAGTGAGGGCAGAGAGGCGGGAACGTGGCCCACACAGCCCTGTGGCCCCTGACGAGGACGTGGGCAATGCAATACAGTCCTTCGTGTCCACTGTCATAGCAAAAGCTCTAGCCTGCAACGAGGGAGCCAGCAGCAAGGCAAGGCTTTCTCCCTCAGGCAGAGGTCCCGGGACCAAAGGCCCCAGAACACCACCTCTCGCCACAGCAGCGGCCCAAAACTGGAAGAGTCGGCACTCGTCCAAAAGCAGCCTTGCATCCCCTGCTGAAGAAATGGAAGACCCAGTAAAGGCCTTTGTCTCCACTGCAATAAGAAATGCCCTTGCCTGGAACCAGGGAGCCATGAGGGAGGCAAGGCTTCCTCCCGTGGGCAGACCTCCCATGAGCAAAGGACACAGAACACCACCTCAGCCCGCAACTGGGCCCCAGAATTTAAAGAAGAGCTGGCACCCGGCCCCACACAGCCCTGCAGACCCTTGCATGGCACTGCGGGACACAGCACACTCCCGCGTGTCTGAAGTGCTGCAGAAGACGCAAAAAAGCTGGGAACACGGCCAACGATCAGCAGCACGTGGGGACCTGGCACAAACGGGGTGCAAATTGAGAGCAACAAGTTCAGCCGGGGTCCAGACAGACATGGAGAGGACGTGGACGACTTCTCTGCCAGGGCCTGATTCCCGGGTATGTGCAGGAGCAAGGGCTTCCAGCAGAGACCCTGCAGCAGCTAGCCCAGGCCAGGGTAAGAAGCAAAAACACGTCAAAACCAGGCAGGGGACAGGCAGGGGACACGTCAAACCCAGGCAGGGGACAGGCAACGAGGGGACAAGCCAAGGCCGGGGCAGGAAAGAGAGCAGTCCTGGGGGATGCGATGAAGAGGAGGGGATCGTCATCCTCAACTCCTGGATTAACCCCAGGTTCGCCAGCCTCTTCACAGACGCACAGGACGTTCCCCAGGAAGAGGGCAGCGCAGCCAGCAGTGTGGACAGGGAGGCAGCACAAGAAGCAAAACACCCAGCAAGCGCCTCTCCTGCCTCACTGCAAACCATGGACACTGCCCCATCAGCTGCTCCCCAGGAAGAAATTCCTGGGGAAGAGAGGCACAGCACGCCTCTCACCACAACAACAGCAGCACAGAGCAGGCCAGCAAGTCCTCCAGCAGCCCCTGCTGTGGAAGATGAGGGACACGGGACGCCTCCCCTGACACGTGGGGCTCAACAGTCAAAACCATCAGCCTCTCTAAGCCCCAGTGAGCACAGCACTGCGGTGATGGTTGAGAGCCAGGGACGTGCCCAACATGCCTCCAGTGCCTGTGATGAAGATTTGCATGACAGAGTGAAGACCATCGTTTCCACGGTCCTACGCCGTGCTGTAGCCATGAGCCAGGGAGCCGTGAGCAAGGCACCAAGTGCTCCCTCGGCCACAGGACCCAGCGTGCCTCCTCCCACAGCAGAGCCTGCAGACTCTACATCCTCAGCATCTGCCTTGGCTGGAGCACTGGGGGACCTGGCACACACGGGGAGCACAGGGAGAGCAATGAGATCAGCCGGGCTCCAGACAGACATGGAGAGGAGGCGGACCACTGCTCTGCCAGCGCATGACCCCGGGTATGTGCAGGAACAACGGCTGCCATCAGAGACTCTGCACCAGCTAGCCCAGGCTGCGTTGAGAAGCAAAAGCAACAGAGAAAGGAAAACGTCAAACCCAGGCAGGGGACAGGCAACGAGGGGACAAGCCAAGGCCGGGGCAGGAAAGAGAGCAGTCCTGGGGGATGCGATGAAGAGGAGGGGATCGTCATCCTCAACTCCTGGATTAACCCCAGGTTCGCCAGCCTCTTCACAGACGCACAGGACGTTCCCCAGGAAGAGGGCAGCGCAGCCAGCAGTGTGGACAGGGAGGCAGCACAAGAAGCAAAACACCCAGCAAGCGCCTCTCCTGCCTCACTGCAAACCATGGACACTGCCCCATCAGCTGCTCCCCAGGAAGAAATTCCTGGGGAAGAGAGGCACAGCACGCCTCTCACCACAACAACACCAGCACAGAGCAGGCCAGCAAGTCCTCCAGCAGCCCCTGCTCTGGAAGATGAGGGACACAGAGCGCCTCCCCTGACACATGGGGCTCAACAGTTGAAGCCATCAGCCTGTGCAAGCCCCAGTGAGCACAGCGCTGCCGTGATGGTGGAGAGCCAGGGACGTGCCCGACATGCCTCCAGTGCCTGTGATGAAGAGCTGGATGAAAGAGTTGACACCATCGTGGCTGCAGTCCTACTCCACTCTGTAGCCATCATCCAGGGAGCCCCAAGCAAGGCAGCAAGTGCTCCCTGGGTCACAGTGCCCACGGTGCCTCCTCCCACACCAGAGCCTGCAGAATGTACGTCCTCGGCCTCTGCCTTGGCCAGAGGCCCTGTGGGGGAGGCCAATGAAGCCCCTCTCGCTGCAGCAGCAGCGCCACAAGAAGAAGGTGGAGAAGGGGCTTCTCCTTTGGCTGCAGAGCCTCTCCAGGAGCCCAGCACAGATGTCCGCCCAGCAGCAGCTGACAAAGCAGGAGCAGCAGCCACTCCCTTGGTTCCTGGGCACCAGGTAAGCACAGCACGCGCCGTGGGCACCAGGCATCCAGGGCAGCCCCAGGCAGAAGCAGTGCATTGGGTGTGCATGCCGGGAGCTGCCTGCTGCTCTGCATTTCCACATGGCCCAGGCACAAGGGCTGACATCCCTTTCCTCAGCTGCCCGTGCTGTTCCTCTCCCCATGCAGGTGGCCATCGAGCAGGGAGGCCAAGCGCAGTCCTCCTCCTGCACCAAAGATATGCCAGCGGATGAGCCAGCAACATCCCAGACACAAGCACCGTCCCAGGATCTGTTGGCCGGGCCTGTTCAGCGCAGCGAGCAGCACCAAGCACAAGGTTGGCAGCACCACGCGCAGGGGGGCTGGCTGGTCCTGTGCCACCCCTTCCCGGGGAAAGGCCTTGGAGGGGGGGTTCAGGCACGCCCAGCACCCGCTCAGGCCCTAACCTACACCTCTGTGTCCCCCACAGGAACCCTTGACCTCGCACAAGCCCCGGCGCGCCAGCCACGGCCCTCCCGCATCAGGAGGGCACTTCGCATGCTGCGCAGGGCTTTCTGCTGCAGCTGCATCGCAGGACAGCGAGAGTAGCCGCGCCCGGCTATGCCAGTCCCAGGAGGATGCTCGGAGCTGGCAGCTGGCCCTCAGGAAGCTTTGCAGCGCCCACGGAAGCATCACTGCGAGGCACAGGACAGCGCCCCAGGAATTCAGATGCCCCACCACATCCTGCCCCCAGCCTCAGCTCAGCTGCGGCTGCTTTCTGCTCTGAATAAAAGCTCAGGCAGACTTTTGCCCCCAGTGCTCCTATCTGTGCCGTTGATCTCAGGGGAAAGAGTGGTGCAGGCCATGCCAACCTGGCACCCGGGGCCAGTACAGAAGTGCAGAATCATAGAATCTACCACTGAACCGTGTCCCTCGGCACCAGATCTACATGGCTTTCGAATGCCTCCAGGGATGGTGACTCAACTACTTCCCTGGGCAGCCTGTTCCAATGCTTCACAACCCTTTTGTTGAAGACTTTTTGCCTAAACCTAAACCTAAATCCACCTAAACCTCCCGCGGCCCCACTTTTTCCTCTTCTCCTACCGCCTGTGGATTGGGAGATGGGACTGACCCCCACCGCACTACAACCTTCTCTGAGGTCCTTGTACACAGTGATAAGGTCTCCCCCAAGCCTCCTTTCCTCTAGGCTACATAACCCCAGCTCCCTCAGCACTCCTCACACGACTTGCTCCCTGGGCCCTTCGGCTGCTCCTTTCCCCTTCCTTGGACATGCTCCAGGACCTCCACGTCCTTCCTGCAGTGAGGGCCCCAAAACTGAACAGGGTATTCATGGCGCGACCTCACCAGAGCTGAGTGCAGGGGGAGAATCAGGTTCACAAACCACGCGATGCTTACTACTATACCATATATGTACAATTTTATTTGACCAACCTTTATTTTCCCCTTTTCCTTTTTTTTTAATTATTTTTTTCTTCATCTCTCGTGACTAGAAGGCCCGTGATTTATTTATTTATTTATTTGTTTGTTACTGATTTTTGCCCTGTTTCTCCTGCTTTTCTTAGCTATCCTCCTCATTTTGCGACTGTGGGACGTTCCCCTTATCTGCTTAAAATACTTCACCTGGTATGCTACTGCCATGCCCGCACAATCCCTTTTGAAAATGCAAGGTTAGTGGAATTTTGCACTGCAAGAACCTGACGTGCTGTCAGCAGCCTGCAAGCTCTCCTGACGTGCTGTCAGCAGCCTGCAAGCACACAAGGGGAGGAAGTGCTGCAACAGCCGTTGCTCACCAAGCAGCTGCCCGGCAAGGAAAAGACAGTCAGTAGGACATGTGTCAGGACACTTTTCCTGCCGATGCGGCCAAATTCACCTGAGAAAGAAACAGGAAAAGTCTCTTTCTTTCTTATGTGGGACTCCGGGAAGACAGGCAAAGTTCTCCGAGAGCTGAAAAGTGGGCTTCTTTACCTGGAGGAGCTCAAAGCAAAAAACAAGAGCAGCCCCACTTTAATAAGGAAGGAGGCACCCAGCCCAGGTACTAAGACATGCTGAAAAGCAAGAAAGGAGGAGCAGTATTTAAGCATTTCTGGCACTGGAAATGCAGCGTGGGGCTTCCCCAACAAAGAAGATGGGCCCTTGTGCTTTGGCCACTGCTCATGGGAAGGTGCCAGATGGCGTCACTGCGGAGAGCCCTGGAGATGGCCTCAGTGTCTGGGAGCTTCCCAGCTCCCTCCTTTTTGCCCCCTGCAGAAGAGCTGGGCTAGGAAGAGCACAGCCAACACCCTCAGCTCAGGAAAAACCCTCCACGGGGTTCCCAACTAATAGGGAAAGCCTTGAGAACCGGCTCCGGCTACATGCTGGCTTGCCCACTCGGGCCACAGGCAACGCACAAGCGCCAGGCAGTACGCATCCCGTCCTTCTGCTGGAGCTGGGCTCTTCTGTTGTGCATATTGCCAGAGCAGCAAGGGGCCCCTGGCACAGCTGCACTTTGCAGGCTACCGCTGGGGCGTTTCTTCTGCTTGAGGAGGCGGGCTGTGGGGTGGCAGCTGCAGGAAGGAGCAGGCTACGAGGGCAGGACGAGGCTGCAAAGCCCACCTTGTTCAGTGCGAACTGCCTGTGCACGTGGTGGGGTATTGCATCCCCAACGTGCCCAGCCCCTGGAAAGCAAATGCCCCAAATCCCCTTTCAGCCGTGCCCTGGGGACGGCAACAAGGCCGCCAATGCCATGCTGCAGGCTGGCACGGCCTGCAGATGCCAGGCTGCCAAGCCCAACGTGCGGCCGCCACGCAGGCGCCAGCTGCCAGAGGCTGCAGGAAGGTTCCAGAAGCAGCGGCAGCAGCCCGCGCAGGGGCAGCCGCGAGTGCAGGAGCCGCTCCTGGGCTCTGGGCTCAGCGGCAGACGCCTGCCCCTGCAGGGAACAAGGCCCACCCAGAGCCTGCCCAGCGGCATGGGCCTGCCCAGACATCCTGGGGGGAAGCCCTGGCCGCAACAAGTGAGCGGGGGACATGCAGAAGCCCCTCACATATGCTGACGAAAAACAGGGCCCACAAAGTGAGAGGCATCCCTGCAAGACTTGGAGCAAAGAGGCGCTGTCTCTCCAGAGAGCACGTTTCCTTCAGCACAAAGAAAAGGAAAGGCCTCTTGGCTCTAGATGCCGCCCACCATCGCTGGCAGCCGTGCTGCGGACAGGCCAAGGCCTCAGCCATCTTGTGGCGCGGGGGGCAGGCAGAACTGCCAAATGGCCGCCAGGGCTGTCAGAGGGTGGGGCTGGAGCCTCCCTGTCAAGGAGCAGCTTTTCTCTCTCTCTCCCTGCACTCAGGGAGTTTCCTTCCTGTAGGGCCACAACTGAGCTGAGCAACCCAGGACTGAGAATAAAATTCTCTCGTTTCTGTCCCGTACAAGCCTCGAGTACATCCCACAAAGTGTGTGCGGTGACCCATTTGGGTGTGGGAAGAAAATTCTAGAATTGCCATTTATTTCTTTCTTAAACCATGAAAAGAAATAAGAAAGAAGCAATGTACAGTCTACAGAAGAGCCTGCAGACTGTACATCCTCAGCCTCTGCCTTGGCTGGAGGCCCTGTGGGGGAGGCCAATGAAGCCCCTCTCGCTGCAGCAGCAACGCCACAAGAAGAAGGTGGAGAAGTGAGAAGCAGAGCATCTCAGGGAGGCCAGCTCAGATCTCCTCCCAGGAGCAGCTGACGAAGCAGGAACAGCAGCCACTCCCTTGGTTCCTGGTGTGACCTGTTCCAGCAAAGACACCGTTGTGTTACCAACACTGTCTCAGCCACAACTCTGAAGCATAGGACCTGCTTCAGCAGCCAGAGAAGCTGCAGGCTAAACAGCAGCGTGGCACAGCTGTGGCTCTGCCGCTGAAAGCTTCTCCACAGCATGCTCTTAAAGCAAGGAGCAGGGAATCTTCCTGCCACACAGAGTCGGGAGCCCCAGGAGGGTTCGGTCGAACATCGTTGGCAGCCCTGGCAGCCTGCGACAAGCAGGCAGCACTTGCAGGAGGAGACAGGCAGGGCATTACCCTGGCAGGCTGAGCCCCGCTCTGCGTGGGCAGCTGCCAGGGCATGCCGGGGGCCGCAGCAGGGCAGCTCACAGCAGCACTTCTAGGGGGTACACTGAGCGGAATGGCAGAAATGGCCCAAGTAACTTGGCCTTTCTCCTTGCCTTCTCTTGCAGATGGAGAAGAAGCCGCAAGACATCAAGACACTGCCTCACCATGGGGTGAGGCAGGCCGAGAGAATCCAGCTGCCAGCCCTGCCGCCTTTGCCAAGGCAGGCAGCGACTCAGGCAGCAGCACCCAAGCAAGTGCCTGCGGCACAGGCATCATCGCCTGAAAGGGCCACTTGCAAGCTGCCCCCTCTGCAAGCAGCAGCCTCTGCTTCTTCAGGGGGAGGAAGGGCAAAGTCATTGGGAACAGAGGCCCGCAGCCAGCAAGAGCTTTTGCCACCTCTTCCCTGCATCTCTGGCAAGAGGGACAGGGCAGTGAGGGCAGAGAGGCGGGAACGTGGCCCACACAGCCCTGTGGCCCCTGACGAGGACGTGGGCAATGCAATACAGTCCTTCGTGTCCACTGTCATAGCAAAAGCTCTAGCCTGCAACGAGGGAGCCAGCAGCAAGGCAAGGCTTTCTTCCTCAGGCAGAGGTCCCGGGACCAAAGGCCCCAGAACACCACCTCTCGCCACAGCAGCGGCCCAAAACTGGAAGAGTCGGCACTCGTCCAAAAGCAGCCTTGCATCCCCTGCTGAAGAAATGGAAGACCCAGTAAAGGCCTTTGTCTCCACTGCAATAAGAAATGCCCTTGCCTGGAACCAGGGAGCCATGAGGGAGGCAAGGCTTCCTCCCGTGGGCAGACCTCCCATGAGCAAAGGACACAGAACACCACCTCAGCCCGCAACTGGGCCCCAGAATTTAAAGAAGAGCTGGCACCCGGCCCCACACAGCCCTGCAGACCCTTGCATGGCACTGCGGGACACAGCACACTCCCGCGTGTCTGAAGTGCTGCAGAAGACGCAAAAAAGCTGGGAACACGGCCAACGATCAGCAGCACGTGGGGACCTGGCACAAACGGGGTGCAAATTGAGAGCAACAAGTTCAGCCGGGGTCCAGACAGACATGGAGAGGACGTGGACGACTTCTCTGCCAGGGCCTGATTCCCGGGTATGTGCAGGAGCAAGGGCTTCCAGCAGAGACCCTGCAGCAGCTAGCCCAGGCCAGGGTAAGAAGCAAAAACACATCAAACCCAGGCAGGGGACAGGGCAGGGGACACGTCAAACCCAGGCAGGGGACAGGCAACGAGGGGACAAGCCAAGGCCGGGGCAGGAAAGAGAGCAGTCCTGGGGGATGCGATGAAGAGGAGGGGATCGTCATCCTCAACTCCTGGATTAACCCCAGGTTCGCCAGCCTCTTCACAGACGCACAGGACGTTCCCCAGGAAGAGGGCAGCGCAGCCAGCAGTGTGGACAGGGAGGCAGCACAAGAAGCAAAACACGCAGCAAGCGCCTCTCCTGGCTCGCTGCAAACAACGGACACTGCCCCATCAGCTGCTCCCCAGGAAGAAATTCCTGGGGAAGAGAGGCACAGC